TAATCAGGGTTTCTTGGAATGAATTATATGAGGGCGATGAGCCAACCTCAGATGGAAAGGAGCCTGGGCCAAAAGAGAGAGGCAGAAGCCTGCTGAGCTCATCTCTCTGTTCTGACGAATCAGATCGATCCGGCAAGCATTAATCAAGGGTCCGTGCTCAGTGACAGGTGCACCACGATGAGCCTAGAAAGCAGTCTTGCTTCTTAAGACATCTTCCTGGGCAGTCAAGGAGGTTTCTTTTGAGGAAGAGGGTTTTTTAAATTATTATTATTATTATTTTTAAATACCTCTCTTGACAATTTTTCTTCTTAGTCTCTTTGTAAGCTAGAGGCTAATAAGTGGTGCGGTGAGTGGAGTGCTGGGCTTAGAGAGCTGAGTTCCAATCCTCCTCAGACACTAGCTAGCTTTGGGATCCTAAGCAAATCACTTAACCTCTGCCTGCCTCAGTGGCCTCCTCTGTAAAACAGGGATGATAATAATAATATCACCCAATTCTCTGGGTTGTTGTGATGATCAAACGACCTAATATTGGTAAACTTTGATGTGCCATATAAATGCTGGCTATTATTATCAATTCCTGGACACTCCACCGTAGGAATGGTGGAAGCTGGAGTCCCTCTTCCCTACCTCTTTTCATTTGGGCTCATCCTGGAGAACGAGGGCTGGGCCAGCTTCATAGGCAATAAAAATAATTACTGCTCATTTTCCAAATAGTTTATAAAGTGCCTTCCACAGCACAAAGCTGAGAAATGTATCATCTCTATTTTGCAGGTGAGGAAACTGAAGCTATGAAGGGTTAAATGTATGCTCATGACCACACTGCTAATGAGATGGGTCTCCCACGGAGATCCCCTCTCTCTGCCAAGACATGTAGCTTCTCATTTGAAGATGTCTGGAATAGCTATTCAATTTCAACAAACATTGGTTACATTTCTTTTTTGGTGATGGGTGGAAGATATTATGTGTCGGGTTTGAAAAATCCACTGCGGTGCATGGATAAGTGGAAACAGTTATCTATTAGGTCCAGGTGCCTCCCCATTCATTTTCCTAGGGTAATAGCGCCACCTGGTGCTCAGCAAACCCATAAGCCGCTGACTTCGGGAGGGGTGAACGGATGATGGCATCCCATCGTCTGAGGGTCAAGGGGAGTTGTAGCTTCCTAGATTTAGAGCTGGAGGTCATCCACTGCAACCTCCTTAATTCTGCAGATGAGGAAACTGAGGCCCATGGAGGTTAAGAGATTTCCCAAGGTCACAGAGCTGAGATTAGAATCCAGGTCCTCTTTGAAACCACAGCGTGGGATCATGGGATTTTAGAATCAGAAGTTTTTTCAGTCATTTGGCTCTTTGATAAGGGGTCATCATGCTCCTGCTTGAACACCTCAAATCAGCGGATGAGGGAGGTGGTGGAGAGCGAGCCTTGGTCTTGAGGGTAGAAGACTGACCAGCTGTGTAACCCTGGACAACCTAGCTAACCTTTCTGGGACTCAGTATTTTCATCTGTAAAATGGAGACATAATTCTGATTTTTTTTTTTTCCTTCCAATTGTTATAGGGAATGTGCTTTGTAAACCTCAAAGGGTTATGAAAATGTGTTATATTATCAATATGATAAGATCCTCATAATTATTTTAAAAGATGGCTTTTTCTCAAGAGAGTGTGCTTGGTGTAGTGGGGAAAGTGGGAAAAGTGCTTTCCTTGGCATCAGGAGAGGTCTGGCTTTAAAGTCTGACTTTAACACAGAAGGTGGACACCCTCTCCACTCCTGCCCGCATGGGAGGAAATGGACTAGTGTCCTGCAGGATTGGCAGGTATGGATGGGTTGCAACCTGCATCATTGGAGGGACTGCTATCGTGAGCAGTTATGGGAAAGTCACCTCACTGCTCCCTGGCAGAGCCTTCGAGAGCCCCAGGATCTCCTCCTTCTCTGCACTCAAACCTTCAGTGAAGGTTTTGTCTTATTCATTTAACCACACTTAGTGTCTGATTCTTGAACTCTCCAACCATTGTCTATGCTGGGCTTCCCAGACTCCTATCATTGTATTAATATTTCAAAGTCATTCATTGTCTTTCCACAATCTCAGTTTGGTTAAATCTGCTCTTTTTTTTTTTTTTTTTTTTTTGTTGAGGGGAAGAGGGGAGACGCTGGGGGAGGAGAGACCCTCTGCAGCAGAGGAAAACCTGAGGGCATGAGGGGGAGGGGAGAATGACTTGGAAGGGGCAGGCAGGGTGACTTCTCCAACTTGCCTTGGCCATGCTATGGCAATGACTGCTACTTTCCCTCAGAGGGAGTAGATCCTTAGTACCACGTGGTGTCCTAAAATATCTACGGCAGAGGAGATGTCTCGTTTTTTAAAGGGAGAGGAACCCTTGTTCCTGGTGCTTCTGAGTTATCCAATTCCTTGACCCAAATTCCCTCTGATTTCCCACCTCAAGCTGAAGGAGACTGCTGGGTAAGAAAAGAGTAGATGCCCCTATTCACCCATGGTAAAGACTCATTTACTTGGGGGCTCCAGGGTTAGGAATCGTGAGACACTGGACAGAGACCGGGAAAAGTGTCAGCTGAGCAAATCAATGGGGGCTGCTATCAGCTACCACCCCAGTGCAGTAGAAAGAATGAGAGATGTCAGGTTGGAGGACCTAAATTCAGATCCTCACCCTGTTCTTATCTTTTAATCTTGGGGCAGTCCGGTAACTTCTTCAGAGTTCCATTTCTTCATCTCTATAGAGTGTAGGAAGACTACATGTCCCCAAGATTCCTTTCAGCTCTAAAGCTTATAGTCCTCTGATGCTTTAGAGGCAAACTTTTCTAAGCAAACAATTGACAGGCCAAATAGCAGTTATTTGCCATTATCAATGTGCAGGCTCCCTGGCTCTCACCCCACCTTTAGGCTCTGGTGGCATCCCAATCAACTCATAAAAGCTTGGGGAAGGCTTGCTCTCCCTTTCATTTTCTCCGTCCCCAAACCTCATTAGAAATGTTTGCAGCAATATTAATTAGGGAAGTTGGTCTAGAGTTTTCTTTCTCTGTTTTTGCTCTTCCTGGTTTAGGTATCAAAACCATATTTGTGTCATAAAAGGAATTTAGTTAGACTCCTTTACCAATTTTTTTTTTCAAATAGTTTATATAGTATTGGATTTAATTCTTCTTTAAATGTTTGGTAGAATTCACTTGTAAATCTATCTGATCTTGGGGTTTTTTTCCTTAGGGAGTCACTAATGGCTTGTTCAATTTTTTTTTCTAAGATTGAGTTATTTAAGTATTTTCTTTTCTTTTCTGTCAATATGGGTAAATTATAAAACATTATAAATTATTAACGATGTAAATTAATTATAATAAATATTTTTGTAAATATTCATCCATTTCATTTAGATCATCAGTTTTGTTGGCATATAGTTGGGCAAAATAGCTCCTAATGATTGCTTTAATTTCATCTTAATTAGTCGTTAGTCACCTTTCATTTTTGATACTGGTAATTTGGTTTTCTTTTTTTTTTAATCAAATTAACCAGTGGTTTATCTATTTTATTGCTTTTTTCCCCAACCAGCTCCTAGTTTAATTTATTAGTTCGATGGATTTTTTATTCTTTCAATTTTATAAATCTCTCCTTTGATTATCAAGATTTCTGTTTTGGTATTTAATTGGAGATTTTTAATCTGTGGTTTGTTTTTTTTAGTTGCATGTTCAATTCGTTGATTTGCTCTTTCTCTCTTTTAGTGATGGAAGTGTGTAGAGATATAAAATTTCCCTTAGTACTGCTTTGGCTGCATCCTGCAAATTTTAATATGTTGTCACATTGTTGTCATTATTTTTAACAAAATTATTTTTTGTTTCTATGATTTGTTCTTCGGTCACTCATTCTTAAGGATTTGATTTTTTAGTTTCCAATTAATTCTTAATCTGTGCTTCCAAGGCCCTTTGTTGAATATAATTTTATTGGATTATGGTCCCAAAAGAGTGCATTTAATGTTTCTGCTTTTCTGCATTTGTTTGTGATGTTTTTGTGTCTTAATGCTTGGTCAGTTTTTGTGAAGGTGCCATGCACAGCTGATAAAAGGGCATACTCCTTTTTATTCCCATTCAATATCAGCCAGAGGTCTATCATATCTAACTTTCAGAAAATTCTGTTAATTTTTTTAACCTCTTTCTTATTTAGCTTACGGTTAGATTTAACCTAAGTCTGAGGAGGGGTAAATTGAAGTCCCACACTAGTTTGGTTTTATTGTCAATTTCCTCCTGTCATTCATTTGACTTTTCCTTCAAGAATTTGGAAACTGTGCCATCTGGTGCATGGGTGTTCAGTATTGAGAGCGCTTCATTTTCTACAGCACCTTTTAGCAAAATGTAGTTTCCCTCGTGATCCCTTTTAATTAGCACTATTTTTGTGTTTACTTTGTCATGATTACTACTCCTACCTTTTTTTTCTTATACTTCCGTTGTAGCATAATAGATTCTGTTCTAGCTCCTTATTTTTACTCAGTGTGTGTCTTTCTGTTTCAGGGATGTCCCTTGTAAACAACATATTGTTAGGGTCTAGAAAAACGTGGTTAGCTGATACAGAGTAGATGTGTGGTGTTGGGGCCACCACACAGCAGAATCAGAACCTAAACCTCAAAACCATACCCAAACCCGATACCATAAACACCGTAAATAAAGGAACCAGTGAAGGGTTATTGCATTTGCCAGCGGCCCCACTAATACAGCTAGACTCCGTCACGGAACAAAAGGACAAGTTGTCCTTTTGGCTGCCATTAAGGCAGGAGGTGAATTGGGTATGTGGTACCTTAGGATTGGACAAGGCCTGTTTCTGGGGGCCTCATTGTAGGATAGGGATAGAGGAGGTAGCATCCTTTGACCTGACAGGGCCTTTGTCGGGGCTAGTAACCAGGAAGGCTGTTTCAGCAGTAAGGGTGGTGGTGGTGTGTGGTTGGTGTGGGAGCTAGGGAGGGGGATTGGGCCTGCAATCCAAACAGTGCCGGGGGCAAGACAGAGGGATTGCAGACAAAATGGAGTTACTTGAGCTCTCTACCCACAATGGCAATACCTAACTGTATGTGTGTTGTGAAGGCCACTCGGACCTCTTCTATCTTCATCTAGGGGAATGCTAACCTTCTCTCCTTCCATACAACATTCCATGCATGAGCTGGAATTCCAAGGATATACTAAAGAGACATGCCCCTCCTCTCCGACCCCTTCTTCTAGCGGTCTGAGGATGACTGAGGTCTGGAGGGTGGCTGGGGAAGGCTGTAAGCCATAAGCTGATGCTCTGGATGGGACAACCTCATGCCTCTGTCTTCTTTCCCTTCAACCAGGGCCTTGTGAAATCTCCAGTCAGCTGGTGTGTTCCTCTCTCTGGGCACCAGAGCAGTGCGGTATCAGCTACCAAAGCAGTTGTGACAGATTGGCCAAGAGGGAAAGAGTCACGCAAGAAGAGAGAGAAGATGAGAAGGGAAGAGCCCATTTGGCACCAATAGAGGTGAAATGATTTAGAAGCAGCCCCTGTGGGGCTCCCAATGGAGCTGGAATACTAGTCTCTCAAGTGATTGCAATGAATCTATGATTCTTTATTGTGTTTTTTTTTTTTTTTTTTTTAGGCAATTGGGGATAAGTGACTTGCCCAGGGTCACACAGCTAGTGTCAAGTGTTTGGTCTGAGGCCTGATTTGAACTCAGGTCCTCCTGACTTCAGGGCCGGTTCTTTATCCTGCCCCTATGATTCTTTGTTGTTAACATTTCCCTCTCTCTGTGAGAATAAAACTGCCTGTTCCAAAATGGATTGATGTTGGTAGCAGAATTGTTCCTCAGGGATGTGAAGGGTAGGGTGGTGGAATGAAAGCATTGGATTCCAGTTCCGCTGTTGAGGAGACTGATAACCCCCGAGAAATACCCTCACGGCAAACCTGGGGACAAAGGGACTGAGGGAGGCCTCTGGTAGCCACGGCCAGATATTCATTGAAGTGCCCCTCATCCCAGGCTAGCACTTCCCAGACGGGCTCTACTGTAGCCCTTTAAAATCATTGACCCTTCACTGCAGGCTACTCTGACCTCCAGAAGGTTTATCTCATCTCTGAGATAAGTGCCCCACAGAAAGACAAAGGTTGGGGGTGGGGATCCCAAGAAACAGGAGGAATTTACCAGCTAGGGAGACAGTCACCTAGCATTTGTTAAGCACTTCCTATGCACCAGGTTTTATGAAGTCAGGACCTTTGTTAATAAATAAAGCTCCTGCAGACAAGTACAAATTTGCAGCAAATGGGACCACCGAGGCACAATATTGAGCTAAGCCATATTTAGAGAGTCTGTGATTTCATTCATTTAACTCCCCAGCTATCTCCCCATTCCTGGCAGTGATGGTGATGGCTGGAAGAGAGTGAATGTTGTTTAGTCCTGTGTTAGTCTTTGTGATCCCACAGACCATCTCCACACCAGGCCCTTCTATTCTCCACTCTCTCTGAAAGTTCATGTTCATTATTTCTATCACACTATCTATCCATCTCATCCTCTGCCATCCCTTTGTCCTTCTGCCTTCTATCTTTCCCAGGTTCTTTTCCAATGAGGCCCATCTTCTCATGATGTGGCCAAAGTATTTAAGCTTCAGCTTTAGTATTTGACCTTCCAATGAACAGTCTGAATTAATTTCTGTAAGTATTGACTAATTGGAACTCCTTATTTCTTCATGACCCCATTGGGGTTTTCTTGGCAGAGATACCAGAGTGATTTGCCATTTATTTCTCCAGGTCATTTTGCAGATGAAGAAACTGAGGCAAACAGTGTTAAGTGACTTACCCAGGGTTACACAGCCAATAAGTGTCTGAGGCTAGATTTGAACTCAGGAAGATGAGTCTTCCTGACTTCAGGCCCTGCACTCTATTGGCTCTGACACCTAGCCGCCCCCTGGAATAGAGAGGAAAACTTAAAACTCCCAGCTTTAGAATTTCCTTCCTTTCCCCCTTCTGAATGATGAATGTCTCACAGATTAGTTTGTTGGGAGCTAAAGTGATTTGTCCAAGGTCATTTCGCCAATGGGCAGCTAGGTGATGCCATGTTGCATAGGGCTCTGGGGTTTCTGGAGTCAGGAAGACTCCTCTTCCCGAGTTCATATCTGGTCACACATATAGGTGTGTGACCCTGGGCAAGTCACTGAACTCTGTTTGCCTCAGTTTCCTCATCTGTAAAATGAGCTGGAGAAGGAAATGGCAAACCACTCCAGTATCTCTGCCAAGAGAACCCCAAATGGGGTCATGAAGAGTCAGACACGACTGAATGATAACAGATAGAGGCCTCTGGCCCCCAATCCAGTGTTCTTTCCACAGGCCTATCAGTCTTGTAATCTTTTGGTGAAAGTGACTTAAGTGTTTTGGACATACCTTAATCTTGCCTCTAAGACCCTTTTCCAGACCACCTGAGGAAATTGTGGGGGGCCTGTGTGCCCCATGTGCCGAGTGAGGCTTCCTGATCCAGGGTGAAACTGAGCCAAGTACAATTGACAAAAAGGAGATTGGGGGGAGGGGGACAAAGGGGAGAACTTCCCGCAGGACCTTGGATGGGATTGTGAAACATGGTGGATCTGTATGGGGTTACAGTGTTAGCAAAAGACTGATTCCGAAAATTCTTTCCTCGGAATAAAATGGAAAACTTGGAAGATGAGGTTCAGGGAGGGAAATAGTGTTTGCCTCGTAATTCTGGAATTTCTTAGGTAAACACAGAGCTCTCAGCCTAATCTGTTCAAAACAAGCCGCCCTGGAAACTTGAGGAAAGAACGTTTTCCCCGATGTTTTTCTAGCTAAGGCACTTAAGGGGGGCTCTGTGCTAACATCGTACCCACCGCCTCTCTGGCTTTGGGCCGGGTCAGAGGATGCTATTTAGCTCAGGTCTAAGGTTTCTGTGAAAACACTTTTGGTGATGGCCCAAGAGAGGACTCAAAGTCCTCCCATTTGCTTTTGAAACTTTGCCAAAATGGGCCTAATTTCTTTCTTTTTGAGGCCCTGTTAGGATAAAAATAACAGATTTAGTGCTAGAAGGGGCATCAGAGGCATCTAGCCCAACCCTCTGATTTCTCATTTTACACACGAGGGAGCTGAGATCCAGACAAGTGAAGTCACTTGCCCAACATCAGTCAGAAAGGGACATAGTCAGGATTTGAATCTCGGTTCTTGGACTCCAAATTCACTGCTCTCTCTGCTGTAACCCTTTATCTTTGGTTTTAAAATATTTTACTTTTTCAACATCACTGTTACTTCCTACAGCCTCTCCCCACCTCATAAAAACTTCTCTTACAACAAATAAATACAGTCAAGGAGAAATCGACACTCGGACTATGTGTGAAAACTCATGCCTTACTCTGAAGCTGCTGTCCACTGCCCTTTTTACCAAGAGGCATGGTTCTGAAGCTGCTCGGTACCTGCCAATCCAGAGGTGATCTGGAGCTCAACCCCCCCCCCCCCCCACTCCACTGCCTTTCAAACTTCTCTTTCCCCCAGCCAAGGCCCTTTAGCTTCCTGAGGTTACATTCTCTAAAACACCTTCTCTCCCTTTGTCATCTGACATTTAAATCTCTTTTCCCCCTTTTGGCCCACAGGCTGTCCCCTTGAAATGTTGGAGGGCAGGCTCATAGGAAGGGATGTTGTCCCTCCTAAAAGGTCACATTGCATAAAAGGTGGTAAGATGCGATTTAACAAACATTTATAACCAAAGCACTGTTGATACCCCATAGGCGCTAGGTGGGACAGTGGATGGAGCGCTGGACCTGGAGCCAGGGAGACCGAGTTCAAATCCTGCCTCAGATACTTACTAGTTGTGTGACCCTAAGCAAGTTACTTGACCTCTCTCTGAGACTGAGGTCTCAGTTTCCTCATCTGTAAATGGGACTTTTGATAGCACTTTTATCCCAGGGTTGTTATGAGGCTCAGATGAGATGTTTGTAAAACATTTCACAAATCTAAAGGACTATATTAATATTATTGTTATTATTACAGTGATGAAATCAGACACAGTCTCCACCTTCAGGTGGCTAACAAGGTACTAACCAGGGGAGCAAAGGCTCAAGCATTGTCTTCTGTTCCCTAGCATGTTTGCCTGCAAAGGAGAGGTCTAAAGTACTAGGAGAGATTCCAAGATGGAAAAGGTGAGGTGTACAGGCATTTATTAATTACCTACTGTATACAAGTGATTGTGCTAGGTTCGGGGGCTACAAAGACAAAACAATTAAATAGTCCCTCCCCTCAAGGGGTTTTCTTTCAGGAAATACGGTGCAAATCCAAAATGATTTTGAGGTGCAGGACACTAGCAACTGGGAGTTAATTTGAAAAGCCTAGGTTTGGCGTTGAGGTGGCTAGATGGCTCAGTGGATAGAGTGCTGGGCCTAGAGTCAAGAAGACATGAGTTCAAATCCAGCCTCAGACACTCACTATCTGTGTCACTCTGGGCAAGTCACTTCACCCTGTTTGCCTCAGTTTCCTCATCTGTAAAATGAGCTGGAGAAGGAAATGGCAAACCACTCTAGTATCTTTGCCAAGAAAACAGTATGGTCCATAGGGTCATAAACAGCTGGACATGACTGAACATTACGGTTAGCCCTGAAGAAATTTGGAGACTCCATTAGACCGAGGGAGGTGAGGAGCCCTGGGTTAATGAATTGTTTTTTCCTGATTTTGTTAAAACTCCCTCATGGGTCTACACTGGTTATATTAGCAGGGGTATAAGTGTCTGAGGCAGGGTTTGAAGCCAGGTTTTCCTAACCCCAAATCCAATGCCCTAGCCACTATACCACACTTCCTGTCAGAGGAGCGCCTAGCCACGGGGCTCTGGAGTCCCCAGAAATCTGCTCCCTCACTAGGACTCCCCAGTTCTGTGTGGGTGTGCTGCCCTCTCTTTTCAGGATTCCATTTGGGTGGCTTTACGGTTTCCCTCAGGGGTGCTCCTTCAGGTAAGGTGCCCTTTGCCCGATGGATCCCTGACCACCTAGAAACCAGCCGGGCAGACACTGGGTTACTCCTCCTGACCTCCCTGGAGCTCCCCTGCAGCAGCGCGCAGGTGCTGTGAGGCCTGGGGAGTTTGTGGCAGGAAATCATGTGTGAGGAGATGCTGCTTCCAGCTACCTGCTGGAGTCTCCTCCTGCCTGGGAAGTCTTTAA